GCTACGTAAAGAGGTTGGAGAAATATATTATTCGCTTAGTAATAACCATTAGAGATTGAAAACATTAAATTGTTTTGTCGCCATGGGTCTTTCAGCTGATGTTGAAGACAGCATAACACCGTTCTCTGTCATGGTCACAGTGATATTTAACAACAACAGTGTTCGCTCTATAAACTCTCGTAAGGTGATTCCCTTGACTTTTCGCCTCTTTCATAGGAAGTGAATCATTTGGAACAGTAAGAAAAATGCGAGAGCGTTGTGCTTCTGAAATTGCCTCTGTTCAAACTACTTTCAGTTTCAAACTATGCAAACTATCGATAACTCAGATGTTGTCTCCTGTACCTTTTTGTGGCCTGATAATTCGCTTTTCTTCGGAATACCGCGGCCTCTGTAACGACTTACGAAATAACTTCCTTCGTTGCCACTCACAATTTCTACTTCAAAGTGATTAGTAGCAAATGCGTAGCGACTACGAATCGGCACGACGAAACGAGACTTCAAATTCATGTGGTGAATCGCGTTTTCAAGCAGGTAGCAGGGAATAGTTATTTAATGTCTAGTTTAAACTCACATCTTCATTTCATCGTCTCAGTTGTCTGATTTGAGAGTACATACCATTTTTTTGTCTATATTTAAGTGGCGATTTGTTGGTCAATCTGTTGCCAGTTTGAAGAAAGTAGGATGCGTGGCACACAGTGTTCTTCAGGTTAGACCACCATACAATAATCTTACTCAAACTCACCTTAGCCGGTTAACGAAATTTTTCCTCCAAAGGAAAATGTTTTACTTCCAACAGGGTACGAAGAAATGGGTTTTGTCTTTTAGATGACGAACGCATTGCCGCACCCAACTGAGCACGTGACCTTGATTGGCAAACCAGTTTAACTGGATGAAGCTGGTTTTTCTTTTGCAAAGGTATCCGGCTTTTCTCAGAAATCCAACAATGATAGAATTTTTTTAATGAAGTTAATGTCATCAGAAAAATAAACACGCACTCTTATTGGTCAATAAACCATCTATTTTTCGTCCATTGTTGAATGCTTATGAGAGCTCCCGCGCGGTCTCGTCTTAATCTAATTAGAGCAAGGGTACAAAAGTCATTCAGGATAACATAAAAAAGATTTTTCAGTCCCAATTAATACAAAAAATTGTTTTTTTTTTTTTAGCGGAGTGTTTCTTCAACAAGACTGAGTCTTTGGAATGAATGATTTGCACACTAATTCCACACGACAAAACACTCATCATCTTCCTACTTCTAGATAACTTTATCTTAAAATTATATTAACCTGTTAACAAATGTTAAAAGGCTTCTTTTGTATTACCGTAAAATTCCGAAAATAATCCCCTCCATGTATAAGCCCCTCCAAATATAAGCCCCCTAAACCGGTGACGCAAAAAGCCCTCCGTTAAATCGCCCCTCCAAATATAAGCCCCTGGGGGCTTGTACTTAGAAAATTGCCCTCAAATACAAAGTAAAACAAAGCAAAAACGTTAAATTTCCTTCCAACTACAAGGCTAGCCCAATCGAGTTTGAAACGCAAATTTCCCTCCCTCTGAATATAAGCCCCCCTAAAAATAAGCCCCTCAAAAAGGGCCTTCGAAAAATATAAGCCCCGGGGCTTATTTTCGGATTTTTATGGTAGGTTATGGATAAATTTGGCAGGTTGGTTATGACGAAGAAACCATCACCTCGTGGGACTCTTACACTCCTATCACCCTTTCCTGTGCATCCCTTTAAACAACTCTACAAGTTAGAGTTTTCCATTAGTTAATAGTCACTCTTAGAAATAGAGAGTACCAAAAAAGTTTAATTAGACAACTTGAATTCACGAAATCTTCTTGAATACAGTTTTACCGTCAAAAGTGTTCCTTCCGTATTTTATGGGGATAGCAACATCAAATGGTTTATCTACTTCTATATATCTTAGAATCATCGCAAAAACGATTTATTGAAGTTGTCGCTGCTTTTTTCGTTGAACACGCCAGTTCTCTACTCACTAGTTACAATGCAATAAATAGTGAGTACGTTCGCTAACGAAATTGCAGAATTCGTGATAGAATGTTTTTGGAATTTCAATCTGCGTGGACACGTGCGATTTATAATTCTTGGAGTTGAAGACCTTGTTGATTTTTTGCAACGAAAATATTTTATTGCATTGACGACTCGATCAGTAACATTACATATAACTTTAAAATGTGAAACGTACATCACAGGAATAGATTAACAGCTACATGTTCATTTACCTCGTAAGTTAAATCCGCATTTACACACGACAAAAAAAAAAAATAAAGACATAGAAATTCAGTGACGAGCTCTGTATGATAGGATATTTTAACACCAGACGCTGTGACATCCATTCCCATAATATTGTTTTTAGCAATAACATTCTTATTCTAAATTTCCAAGCATACTTATATTTTACGTATATTTTTAATGATTGTTATTTTTTTTTTCAGCAACAACATAAACTAAGGGAAAAATCAAGTTAAAATAATGTTCATGAATTAATCAGGCAATGCAATTTAATCAATGACGTATATTTAGAGATTTTGAACTTGTCTCTTTTTTATGTTTCTGTTCAGTGTACAAGCTCTCCTAGTCTACTTCTGAACTGCAACTGATTTTTCGACCGTTTGATATGCTCAGTCATATACAACTTGAGTTCTATGCAGTCTTTAAATATGCAGTAAATTGAGCCTTTCTTTTGCAGCTTAGGAAAGTTATTGCAGTGCCTAGTTCCCGGGCCATGTTATGTGCGCAGCCAATTCGTCTTAGTGGTCCTATCGACTAAACACAGTCATCACTAAACAGCGGGTGTAAGACCAGTAACAAAGCTCAGTACAATCGGCGACAAATTGTTACGAGAATGTCCTCAAATAGGGTACATCGGAGAACAAAACATTCTGTATCTCCCCCTTCCCTCTATTCAAAGTTGGGCCACGGTGTTTGTTGTTCGTTAGAAGTAGCAGTTACAGCGGCACCACATTGTTTGGAGGGGTTAGGGTGGGAAAGCTTCAACAGAAAAATGTCACAAAGGCCCTTTAAGGTAAAGTGTTTCAACTAATTTTGTCGGTGATTGTACGTACAGCCCCACCTTGTATGGCCGTCAACGTTTAGAACATCTTCATCGTCAAATGTAAAGTCGCAACCATAATACTTGAGTCATGATGGACAAAAGCGCGTATGCCTGAGATGGATGAGCACAAAGCGGCCACAGGAACAAGGGGAAAGTAATTCCGGTTCGACCTCTTAACATAACTTAATTGAAACTCAGTTCAACTCTCTACTCTGAACTGACCAAGGTCATAAAACAAAACGGTTTCTTTAAAAATAGACAGAAATAAAAATAACATTCATGACAATGGAAAGTGCTACTGAATCAGTAAAAATGTCAATCTTTCCTCAGAGTCTGATAGTACTTACTCCACTATATATAAGCTGAGGCTTGAACTAAGCTGAGGCTTAATGTAAACTTGGTAATCACAAGCAGCGTTAGCTAATTACGATGTAGATGACTCGAATCTACCGAGACCTTAACTAAACACAACCACTAGCTATCGACCTAACTCATTTGAAAGTACCACTTATTCTATGTTTGTTGTTTACAGGGAATGTCCCTATGGCGTATCTATATATCTATACGTGCTGACTACAAACAAATGCTCGGCACGCTTACATGAAACGCCCTAAATTAAAGCTACTGTTCTTGTTAGCGTTTTATACTCCAGGACGAAGAGTACCTCATCAACTCACTCTGCATCACTCAGAATGGGGATGAAACAGCGACACCTCAATATCCAACACGGCCAGTGTTTTCTTCTGCATGGGAACTTTAAACTCCACATCTCGTTTCAGCTGTTTGTGCAACTTCTCAGCCTCCCGTAGCTCGTTCTTCCGAAAATCTTCGCATTTGGTCAACAACAGCTTGTCGGTGAAGTAACCCTGGACGTTTCGCTTGCAAATGAATAGTATAACAGCGACGATCATGGAGCAGACTGTCAAGTGAGCTAGATTCAATGAGAGGAAAAAGAACAGTCTCATCAGACTATCAAATTGAAACACTCTGTGCGGTCTGAAAATGCGATTTTTCTTATTGACAGTTGCAGCTTATACGGCTATCACTTTGTAAAAGAACACTGGAGGTATTGTCTTCAAACTAAAGGTACTCTGATAATTTCAGGCATACAGTAAATGAGTTTCCGTAAAAAAAAATGACTTTGTTACTTTGGTTCAGTTGACCTGACCGAAAATCTGCTGCCTTATCTAAGAGCGGACCATTACCAATGATACATGTTTCCATGTACCTACTTTGTTAGTAGTCTGCGTAGCCGGCAAAAGTTTTGGCAGAAGAGCTGCGAGTCATGGTGGCTTCGCTACCAAAGCTCTTGCAACGTACGCGCAAAAACAGTAGTACACAGGCTACTTTAGAATAGGTATTTAACAATTATTCCTCGAGCAGGCCGAATGGGCTATTGACCCAGAGGCCATGAGGGCGAGAGGAATAATTGTTTTAGTAAAATCCAACTAGTTGGTCAAAAATATCGAGAATAAAAAAAGTTTAGCTAGTTAAATTAGCCTTTGATCCTTTTTTGCCGCCAAAAAGCCAGCGCTTTTCGCCACTGGTGGGCTATAACATATAGCCTAGTAGTGGCTCAACCAATCAGAACGCCGCATTGATAATAGACTACTAGTTGAATTTTACTAAATTCTGTATAGATTTGCGTCAACATTTCGGTAGTGCTTCCTCTTCCCACTTCCACGATTAGCGGTTCTAAATTAGATGCTACTGGCCTTACCCTATTCCAGGCCACAAATGATAGACTCTGTACTTTGGACCTGACGGAATAATTGTTTTATTATTCATTCAAAATGTTTCATACTGAAAAAAATAAGCTAAAACGATGTTAAGTCTCCGTCTCCAATTGCCTGTTCCTCGGCAAATCCAGGATATAAGTATAAAAAGTGTTTAGTCTTGTAGATATTCTTGAAATAGCAGTTGTCATCGGTCCCCAGGTCTCCTCGGTTGCTTTGCATTTTTCTGGCATTCTCCTGCACTATATTCACGCCTTTTCGTTCCCGGATATTGCAATCGTCTTCCAAATTTAGTAAAAAGTAACACGCATAAATAACAGTTTCAATGCTTTTTGTGTTCATATGCTTTTAACCTTCACTTTTTCCCGTTTTTATTGCAACATGTTATAATAGTATCATATTGCAAGCTATCCGTTATTTTAAATTGTAATGTTCCGTTGATAAATAACAGGACGATTTGAGCAAATCAGAGGCGTAAATATATTTTGAATGAATAATAAAACCCCTGATCCTCTGGCACCTTACTCCGTACCTTTAAAGCTTACAAAGGGTTAGAATGTCCCAAGTCTTAAAAACGTCTACAAGGGAACAAATTGAACTTACAGCCAACAGTTAAATCAGCTGCGATGAGTAAACTAATAATGATGACCACTTGCTTAAGAATATGAGTAGGGGTTCGTTTTACTTCATCCTGCAGATCAGCGATGTCAGCTCTTAAATACATCAGAGCATCTTGGCATGCAGCCAGAACACATGTGCAATTGATAAGTCCCATTTCTATTTCCAGGTCATCGTTACGCGAGATTCTGTAGTTTCTTTTAACAGCAGTCTGGATCTACATAATTTTCAAAGAAACAAAGAGTATGAGGTCTTAATCATTACTGATAAATATCTTTGAAAAAAAAATTAAAGGTTTAAACTATTGGCTAATGAAGCCTGCGTGTTTTTTCCTCTTCGTTCATCGCCATTTGGAAAAATGACGGAGCACTCTCTCCTCCTCAGAGGCGGTAGAAAGGGGAAACCTAAAAGAGCGCAGGTAAGGATGGGAAGGGAAAAAGAAAGGAAGCAGAGACCTTTCCTCTCTTCCCATCGTCCACCGCGCGCTTATCTATATTTTTGTCATTTTTATTTTGTTGGAATACCCAGCCGGTGCCTCTAAAGAGGAAAGAGGATGGGGGCAAATTGAAATTTATCATTCACCTAGTTATATTAACGAGCTACTGATAGAAAAAAATTCTTCTTACAATTTGCATGGTAAACACTCTCTTAGTATTCCTAGAGTTCAATCGACCAAATATGGTTTGCACTCCTTTCATTACTCTGTCACCAAATATTGGAATATGCTCCCAGAGGTACTTAGAACTGCTGAGTCATTACATGTTTTCAAATAAAAAATTAAGAGCATTAGCTTTGATAATAAATGCTGCTCCTTTGTAATTAGTTTTAATCATCACTAGTCTCTGTAGCCACAATGTATATAATATTTTTCTTGTCTACGTTATCTTAAATTTGTACATAATAATTATATAGCATCACTTTATTCTAATTACCGTTTTCATTTATTTTCTATTTATGTTGCTTTTCCTTCAGAGATATTAGCATGAGTTTATGCTATCTTTTGAAATTCGAAGTGAAAACAAGTTTTTGATTGATTGATTGATTGACTGACCTGCTTTCGCATATACTGATGCAGTCTTTTTATTGAGTCTCCCTTTACAGGGCTTTTCAGACACAATCTACTAATTACGTGAAATGTGCAGAAATAAAATCTAAAATCTAAAAAGCCAAACTGTCTAGTGTATTCATTAGAATACACTGTTAAACAATAAATTAGATAAAGAAATTCCTGCTCATGTAATCTATTCGTTAAATATACAATTAAATAATCTTTTCTTAAAAAGCTTGATACCTTTAATGCTCTGAAGGTCCTTTAGCAGGTCATTCCACCGTTTAGCCCCGAGAAAGAAAAAGCCTCGACAAGACAGCCGGCAGCATGGAAGTCGCAAGTTTCCAGACCTTCTTTTGCTAGACCGATTTAGACATTAAAAAACTGAAACTAAATCATTGAAACATTCAACCATTTTAGAAAATACGACCCCTCAGAAACATGATCAAATTACTTTAACCAGAAAACGATCCTGGCAGCGAAATTCTGCACTAATTGAAGCTCAGTTATGTATGTTTGATTTAACTGAGTTTCCCCATACAGCGAAACAATAAAAGTAACTTGCTAAAAACAAATTTTTAGATTCCACTAATGCTCCAAAGATCTTTAAAGTTTTCAGACTTCTAAGAAAGCTGTGGAAGCAGTTACGTTCTTCCATGGAAATGAAGAGGGGCGAGTATCGATCGCTGTTGAAATGATATCATTAGTTCTTCAACATAAGCTCAGTTCTTCAACTAAACTCTCCTTCCGGCTATTTGCAGACGACACTAGCGTCTTTCCTCCACTTCTAAATCCGAAAGAACTTAAGACTACCACGAATCAAGACACAAAATGTAAAGAATTGGTGCGACATTAATAAGCTCTCTATAAACCCTAAGAAAACAAACTTCATGTTAATTAAGACAGCCCATGAAAAATGAAACACACCATTAAACATAATATTTTGTTGTTGGTTCTCTCCTTTGCTCCGAGAGGTTTTTCTCCAGGTACTCCAGTTTTCCCCTCTCCTCAAAAACCAGCATTTCCAAATTCCAATTTGACCGGGAGTCAGGTAGACGAAGAACCAGTTTGTGGATGTGCTACCTCCAAATCATTATTTATTTATTTATCTTTCCAACCAATGAAGACACCATTTCTTCTCTTGAACAGAACGACCACGCCAAATACCTTGGCGTCATGACAGATGACTGAAAATAAGCAGGAAGTACCACATTTCTTTTTTTTCTTCACGTATATCTAGAAATTCTGGAATTTTCTTCAAGTTTCGTAACTTCTCTCCATTTCAACTAGGGCAATAATATAACCTAATCTATTCCCATCTCACCGTCATGCTATCATTGTTTGGGGCAGTGCCTACAAGTCCAGTATAAAAATTCTCCAGGTCAAACAAAACCACATTGCAAGGATAATATTTTTTCCACATTGTAAGGGAAACATACAGAAAGCCCCTTGCCCATTAATAAATCTTCCGATCGTGACATTCTAACTGTTGAACATATTTGCGAACTTCAAACATTAAAATTTTCCCATAAATGGCACAAACAAGAGTTCCAATCAATCTTTCACAGTTGCTTTCAATACATCAGAAAAAACAACTCCTTTAACGCTAGATATGCTTCAAAAGACAATCTATATCAATATGATCTCCTTTAGAACAAATACTGGTAAACAAACGATATCTGCATCGAAGTAGACCTCTGGAAGGAACTACCCTTTGACTTCAAACACCTATTGTAAGTGCTGCTCTTTTCAACAACACTTGTTAATTAAGTAATATGCTTCTTCTGACATCTGACACAAATTAGCTACCTCTTCTTCGTTTGTTCGCGCGTTAATATATCCTCTATGCTTCTGCTTTACGCTGTGCTGTGCACTTGCATTTTCTTTCTTTTCTTTTTCTTTTTTTCCCTCTTTTACTCTGCCTTTACTGTTCTTTGCTTATGCTTCGTTATTTATTCATTTTATTCTGTTGCTTGTGTGTTTGTTTGTGAGTCTAACTACATAAAAAAAACATATTTATAAGTCTAGAGTCTAGCTCGAAAACCTCGCGGTTCATTTAGGCTCTAGGCACTTCCTTCTTTTATGCTTATATTTTTTGTTACCTTAAATTTTTCCAAAAAAAAAAAAAACAGATATGTATTTTAAAGAATATTTATACAATGTAACTAAAAAAGATAAGAGAAATGTTAATAAAGTAGTTGTTGTTTTTGTTGAGGCTGTGGCCATAATAATGTTAACACCAGGAGCCCATTACCTTGAGATGGCAACTTCCCTGTATTCGTCTCAAGGCACTTTCTTCAATTAGTTTATTTTTAGAACGATCTTGGCTCTAAAAAGTCCCACAAACCATTCAACAAAACCCAGCTTCAGACGTTAAAATGGAGTTTTTGACCTTTAAGGATGTTTAGGTTTCCGTTTTTCTATCTTATACTTAATGTGTTAATAGAAGGAACGGATCTTTCATTTTCGCGTGAAAAAGTGCTCTGAAATGCATTTTAAAATAAACGGGTCTGTCAAAACGCCGTGACAAAGGCCATCCCCTTCCCCATTGAAGTACGTCGCTCCGAGTTATGGTTTCCTTTCAAGCTCATTCTTGGGGACGGTTTGGAGTCGTAGAAGTGCTTTTATTTTATATATCCGCTAGGATTGCTCAAATCTAGTACAATAAACCCTAACAATGAACTTTGCAGTAAAATTCTATCCCATATCGCACTGGTATGCGCTTTATAGTAATAATAACTGTTTATTCACAAATCCAAATCGAAAAAGTGAAAAGGAGATAAAAGAGGTTATCCCTTTCTAGTTTATCTCCTGATAATAAAATACATTACGAAATAAATTATTTACAACAGTTTAAAATAGTAACTATATATGTATATAAAACATCACACAGTAAAAGAACTTAGTGTTCACTAGAAAAATCTATAAGATAACGTCTCAGTCTGTTCTTGAAAATATTCAAATTCTCCGCCTCAGCAACTTCCTTTGGAAGATTGTTCCACTTATCTATTATGCGTATAAAAAAAGAATGTTTAAAACTATTTAAAGTTGCTGATGTAAGCTTAAGTTTAAAACGATGGTTGGCTCTTAAGGGCCGAAAATCATGTGCAAATGTAAAAAATGCCGAGGGATCAAGTCCATTAAGTCTATTTATTGTCTTATAACACTCGATAAGCGACGAAAATAATCTTCTTTGTTCAAGTGATGGCCATTTAAGGAGCTTTAGGCGTTCTTCGTAAGGCATGTCTTGCCCAACATTTCCAAGGGCGCATTTAGATGCTCCACGTTGTACTTTCTCCAAGGTGTTTTAAGTCTTTTTTAAGGTGCGGACACCAAACTGGAGAGCAGTACTCGAGTATCGGACGTACTAGACTCTTATAAAGTTTTGAAAACAACTGAGGATTTTTAGGACCCACCGTTCGCCTAATGAATCCAAGCACACTATTTGCCTTATTTGCGCATTTGTTAGCTTGCATACTCCATGATAAATGTTTTCATTTAATTATTCTTATACTTAAAATAACTTAACGCTTGTCGTAATGATAACCTCAGCTCCGACAAGGACTTTATTCTACCAGGTGTTCAAATTAATCAATTGTCTAGTAGATGAATAAATGTATAAATAATATCATGGGTAACAAATCACTCCTTAATTTTGGCTCGAAGTTTCAGCCTTAATTTATAAATGTACACGTGAAATAGCGATATTGTTATAATCGTGTTTTTTTTTCTACGGTGCCAAAATCCCCCGTTTTGTGAGCTTATACATTTTTTGACCATAGTATTCAAACTGTAATCAAATGGTATACAATTGTACTAGTGAAACTGGAGGAATAATTTAACTTGTGTTCTGTCCAAATTCTTATATGAAAGTATTCCCTAATTTCACTTGTCCACACATTTGATTACACACACAAATTCGTCAGCTATTTTTTCCATAATGTTTTTACTGTAACCTACAAGTAAAACAGAAAAACAAAAAATACCAGCAATACCTTCTCTTGCATTTTTGTCGTGTCATGAAGCACCTTCTCGAGGTTCCACTTTACTTCCCCCAGATACTTTTTCATCTTGTCTAACTGCGCGCGGCTTTCTTTCGGTATTTCTTTCATAGTCTTGAGTACATCAGTGAAGGCTGTCCACAGAAAAAAGATCCAAAACCTGATCCAAGACCAGCTTCCACATGCCACAGCTGCTAAGGCACTGGTGATAAGGTGAAATTTGCTTCTCTCCGCAATTCCACGTCCCTGTGTCTGGAGTAGAATTTCTTCCAGCCTTTTAAGTGTCTCAGCCATTTTCTGTTGACCTTCCTCTTGTATTGGGCGCGGAAGTAACTCCTCATGGGTGCTGTCCACCATGATCTTGATTGAGATGTGAATCGAAAAGGCGATTCTGAAAATGAATAAGAGACGTTAAGGGAGTAAGGGCAAAAAGAACAATCTGCTTTAGTTTCACATTTGCGATTTCATTTTCGAATATAAATGAAGGACATGAATACATACAAAGAACTTCTAGAACAAAGGGATGTTTCATGCACACTCATACATACGTACACTGTTTACAGGAGGATCATAAGGTTATCCCTATATTAAGATCTCTCCTTAAAGATAACCCAACCAGCCCAGGAAAGTTTGGCAACAAGTAGTGGTATAGGCACCAAATTAACTCCCTTTCATGCGGGGGAATACATTAACGCCGATGACGTCATAGCGTTTTGTCTTTTAACTCACAAATAAAATGCGGTGGATTCTCATTATCTGCCATCGTTTGTGTTTCTTATACAATAGGAGTAATAGACTAACGTAGCCTAGACTGGTTTTAACCTGTTTGTCATGTTCTTGTTTTATTGAACTGATTTTGGTTATTTTTAGATGGATGATGACTAAGGAATAAACTCAAACTTGAATGTGCCTTAAAATCATTGAGTCGTAACGTAATTATGCACGTTCCATTTCCTGCCGCTGTCATTGTTAAACGGTTCCTGTGCACCGATTCTTAGCGAGAAAGTCGTGTATATCTAATGAAGCGCGAAGCTCTTCCTGCTCAATTTTATTGTTGGTCTCCTCCTCCACCTCATTTCTTTTGTTTACCCTCCTATCATACCAGACTTAATTAATCAAAAAACCGATAATCGATAATTAGCGATTATACTATCGATTCCTATCGATTATCTACGTCTGGAACTTGTAACAAGCTAGTTGGTAAACCGACAAGCCAATTACCGATGACATGTCTGGCAAACAACATCAAGCAAGCTCTTCTACAACCACAACACGACTTTTCGCCCCTTTCTTTTTTACTATCAGGCTACCACATCGGGTCACAAGGTCTCTACTCTCTCACTTGAACAGCGTTTTAAATAGCTTAGTGCAGTTGTTGCCTCTAAAGCAGGTGACCCAGAGTAGGGGCATGCGTATAGCTGCGTGGAAGATGAGCCCCCCCGCCACGTTTCAAAACGCTCCTCCGTCTCTGTTTAGTTAAGATACTTCAAGGGGTCTTTTCAAGTACGTGGACGATACTGAAGTCTACAAGGTAGTGGAAAATAAAAGGACTAGTTATGCGCAGTCCATCCTCAATGAGGTGTCTGCATGGTCTACTAAAAACATGTTTCAACTACATTCCTCTAAGTGCAATGAACTAAAGATAACCTTTGCACGCTCCCCAAAAAACCATGAACTTGTAGAAATCGATGGTTTTGAAATTCATACAGTACAGGTAGTTAAATTAGTACACTTTTATAGTCAAGAACACCTTAAGGAGAATTCTCATGTTACAGAAATGACAAAAAAGCTACCAAACGATTTTTTTACAATGAATTAGCGAATCCTCGCGCGCTGATTGGTCGAGAGCTATGGTCTATGAGAGTATTAACCATGTAACATGTCACGCAGTGCCGGTGGTTTTGTTCTTGGTTTTTCGTAAAAAAAAATATTATTTTAAAAAGCAAATCGACCACAATTCTCCATGGTCTACACTCTTATAGACCATAGAAATGACGCAGTAAAATGTTCAAAACTTTGCAGTGGAACCACGAGCCGCTTTCCACTTGAGTTTGGAACATTTTATGACGTCATTTCTATGGTCTATTAAGAGTGTAGACCATGGAAAATTTTAGTCCATTTGTTAAGAATTTTTTAGAGCAACTAAAGCGTGCAAAAGTACCACCTGAAGAACTGGTTCAGTTCTATGTAGTCTGCATTCATATAAATAAAGTGCACTACTCAGATGCCCTGTCACGTTGAGGCCTTGTTCAGTTACAGCAAAGAGGGACAGAGCTGTGTAAAAAAAATCTTTTTTAACAAAATTGTTGAAAATTCCCTTGATGTTTTGCACCCTCTCATAACATTCAATGAGTTACCCCCAAAAACCTCTGTCAGGAATTCCAGAACATACCGTGCAAAGCCATGCAAGACCAACAGGTGCCATGATACATTTATTAACAAATGCCCAAGTATTTTCCAATAATTCATAGTTAGTCTGAGATTCTATGTTCGAAGTTGTAGGATTTGTTAAAGTTAGTATATGAGGATTTAATTTGTGATTATGTTTGAATTCATAACCCTTTTCTATGTATTGTTAACCTTAGCAATTTAGTCGATACTGGTAGTGAGGTATTTCAATGAAGCATTCTATTCTATTTTATTCCATTCTATTCTAGAAATACATCCTACAGGGAAATGAAATGGGGCATTGATTTCACTGCATGATCATTCACGTGATTTAGTGATGCACGCAATAAGTACCAGTTCCTGGGCAAGAGAAGGCCACTGAAAAATTACCGTAAAATTCCGAAAATAAGCCAAGGGGTTTTTTTTTTCAAAGGCCCTTTTTGAGGGGCTTATTTCTGGAAGGGCTTATCTACGGAAGGAAATTTGCGTTTCAAAATCGATTGGGCTAGCCTTATAGCTGAAAGTAAATTTACGTTTTTTGCTTTGTTCTACTTTGTGTTTGAGGGCAATTTTCCAAGTACAAGTCCCCGGGGGGCTTATATTTGGAGGGGCGATTTAACGGAGGGTTTTTTTGCGTTACCGGTTTGGGGGGCTTATATTTGGAGGGGCTTATACATGGAAGGGCTTATTTTCGGAATTTTACGGTATTGTACGAAAGCATGATGCCATGAAAGTGGTGTCGAGAAAAGTTTGACTGAAGAGGCAAGACAAGACAAAAATGTTTTATTTTACTCAACACGATTTTACAATTAATACAGATTGAGTTAGCGAAACAAAGCTCATCAACATGACTTTTCCACGGTTAAGCTTGAATCAAATGTTATGCCTAAGTATTTGACACCGTGAACCTGTCTAATAGGAACATCCCCAATTTCAATACAAAAAGGCTGATAAGGCTTCAGTTTATTGGAATGGAAAAGAATAAAGTAGTTTTAAAGATACTTGGTGTTAATGGATTACGATCAATTAAATTCAGTTTATTTTTTCACAGTATTTTTGCTAGCTATGCTAAGTAACAGCCTTTTTAGCCAGTTGTTTACAGTTATAAACGTTTCTGTTTAACTACATTAAAGTTCGAGTACGATGGCCATGCATCCAGGCATTCAGCGACAGATTTAAGTTTCTTAATTTAGTGTTTTTTCAAGGTGGCTAGTAAGTTGTTTGCTACAAAAACAAAGGTTAGAATCATCAGCCCAAAAACATGTAAAGTAAGCTAGAAGTATTAGGCAAATCATTTACACACTAACAGAAATAAAAGGGATCCTAGAATGGATCCTTGTGGAACAGCACAAGTCACAGGTAAGGAAACGGAGTCATGACCATTAACACATACGGTTCAAGTATCTCACTTTGGGTGAATAAGATTTCAGTAAATCATTTAAAAACTTTTTTTCAGATCTACAAATATACCACAGCCAAATTTAGTATTATCAATAGACTGTCAACTAGTAGTCAAACATTTGTCCCTGAAAACCAAGAAGAATTGGATTAAATTTATTTTTAGTTTCTCCAGATAACTATTAGAGACGATGATACATAGCTTTTTAAAATCATTTGGTTAAGTTGGAGACGAAACAGAAATGGTTCTTTAATCGTCTTTGTCATATTTAGAGCCTTTCGTGGAAGACAAGGCTGAACCTGTGCTTACTTAAATTTATCGGCAAAATTGCCTCTTGTAAAGGAATCATTTACTAAAAAGGTCAGAGGCTCAGATATATAGTCCTTCATTATTTTCAGAATAGTAACAGGTATATTGAATGGGCCACAAGACTTTCTAGTATTTATATCACTTATAAGATTCCCGACCATTTGGGATGACAGAGGATAAAAAGAAAGATACTGGAAATTAAATTACCCCTCATGCCATCAAGAATGCCCCCTTCCAGACGCAATGAATCGAATTATCTACACATGACGTTGTGTTATTTATTGGCCCTGTTTCCGAGCTATAAAGGTATTCACTATTGTAGCGAATGAAGACCGTAAACATTACAAACACAACAAAACGTACCCTAATGCATGACAGTTCCGGCTCAAGCTACCGCTAAACTTTGATTGAAAGAAAATCGTTCTTACGATGCGATTTGCTCTTTTACTCCTAGCCTCCTAATTCACTAGAAACATATTTTCTATTAACCGCAAAAGGTTCCTACTTTCGAGGAATAAAGAACCATACCGTTAAAAAACACATTTTCAATTTCTACGAATGTTAAATTTCGTTCATTTCCCAGAAAAACGATAAGAACGTGAAATAATTTAATTCATAAGCCCAAGAGTGAACTGACACCCGTACTTAACAACATTTGAAGACGTTAAATAATCAGAAATAAAACGAGAATGTGGCACAATTTTTGCTCCTGTTTTTGTTACTCAAGGCTTTGAGTTCACAACATTAATCCGGAAGCCTGAAGGCCAATATGCTTCCGCTTGTTTCCTTACCTGTTTTAAGCACCGGCTCAACTGGAGAGTAGTAGCCCCAATTTGCTGAAATAAGAAAATGTATTACGATATATTTGCAGCGGAATAACGAAAACTGAAGTGTCCGCAGTTTTTATAGTACTGTGAATTTGCGAACGAAGCGGAAACTAAACGAAAAGGAGCGGTTTTGCATTCCAAAATGACTCAGACTAGGTGTGTGGCTATCGCCGCCTGACGTTTTAGAACTGAACTCCTCCAAGGTTGAATTTCTCGATATGTAAAGCCTATACTTACCCCTTTGTCCTATATAATAGAAACACCGAGGAAATAAACGTCTGGGTATGATGGAGAAAAGCCCCTGCTCACTGCGGTAACTTCAAAGGCTTTCAAAATGAAAGGGACAGAGGCCTGTGAAGGGAATTTTCCCTTGGGCCGACCAATTGCAACTTCTGCAAATGAAAGATTGCAATGTATGTAGACTCGACATTATC